GAGATCTCAAGAAAATTAACTCGTTATCACAGGAAAACGGAGGAAATAAAATGCATGAATGCATGGCCCTTTTGGGCTTCCGTAATATTGTGTACTTATAAAACAAAATATACAGGAAATGTCTTTAGTTTTAGTCATTTTGTTAAATTTATCAACACAACAAGCCAGAGGAGGCATTTAGTTTATTGAGACTGTGAGTTAATGTGTTTGTATCTTAATACCCATTCTTATAAATACCCAACATATTAAGGATATAAAACACTGAAATGAATAAAAACTAAACATTTTTCAACAATAAAAACTAAACTGAAACGAGCAATCCGCTCTGGAAACAAATTGAAACTACACTGAGCTGAAAACTAAAATTTAAAACAAAATGAAAAATAAAAACTAATGAATAATCCCAAATAACTCACAGCACAGTGCAGACTAGCGTCTTGTGCAGCACGCTGCTTCATTCGAGAGGCGGTTTCCGGTTTCCTGATGTGGATTATATTTGTTTTTAAATAACAGGATTTCTTCAGTTGGAAATTGAGTTCATGTGTTCAGTTCAAACGCAGATAGACCTTGAAATTAGGTTTGTAAATGTGAAGCGATGGAAGTGATTTAAATACACTATATAAAGAAAACACATTTTAACTCACTGATGGGTTAAAATAAGTATTTTCTGAATAATATTGGGAAAAGACTGTAATGTTTTATTTTCTATTAACTGTCATTGATATTTCTCATGCAGTTTTTGTATCCACTAAGTAACAAAATATTTCTTATATAGTTTTTTACATATTGTGGTTTATTGGCTACATGATGGATCAATGTGTTGTATAAAAGGAAACTGGAAACAGTCTCAGACATCACCATCACTATTCAGGTACTTTTCGTTTTTAAATGGTTATTTTAATGCCTGCCAGCAGGTCAGATTCCCTTTGAAATAAATGAAACGAGGTGATAGAAACACTGAACAGATGCTGCGAGTCGCTTTCTATGGAGGCCCTGAACGGACAAACTAAACACTGACTGTAGACGTTTTTCAGCGCTTCTCAAACACATTGCAGATATTATATTAAAGATAATGTAAAAAAAACAAAATATTTCCTCTTGTAGTGCCTTAGTACAACAGTAGTTGTAATAGTTTAGATAACATGTCTGTCCCCAGAACTACCCCCACCAGTGATAAATAAATGTGTTTTCCCTTTAAATATTCTTGCTATGCCTGCCTAATACGATCATTAAAGTCCAGGTGAAACAGAAATCAGAGAGCTGTTTGTTTCTGCATATTTATGTATTTTCTGTAAAAACAGGCAGTTAGAGAGGGACCTGTCATTATAGCCAACATCAGCTGCACAAGCTAACTAGCCCACAGCTGTTGGCGATAGTTAGCTTCTTTTAGCAACAAGTTCATCTGGAAACTCCATAAATCACCTCGGTACCGCTGTTATCAAACTGTCCTGGGAGGCTGCTGAGCCTAGAGGAACAATGTAACAGAGGATGTGATCTTAAAGGGTTAAAATGACATTTTTATTTTTTAATGGGCTTTAAAGTACGGGTCTTTATTTTCTTTTTGTACCATTGTGGCTGCCATCGCATCAGGGTGATTTACTTGTTGCATGGCTGTGTGGTACATGGTTGCATGATGGGAGCGGAAATCTCTTCATCACACATCACTCAGTAAAAATACACACACACACACACACATAACTGTGTGGATGGATACCGTGTCAGGGTTGTGTGTTGTGTTGTACCACGGGTGGTTGGAGCTGGAGGTTACATAAGACCTGCTCCAGCCTGGTGGTCTGGACTCTCCTCTCTGCTGGCACCACCTTGTGTTAAGTTGGAGTTTAGATTTTCTGTATAGTTTATTTATCTCAGTTATCCTGGCAGCATATTTAATTTACATGTCTGTGACATTAAATTAATCTCTGATGAATAAAATTTATTTCTTTTAGTTTAATCCCTCAATATTTATAGAGATTCTGGGATGTTTAATTATCTAGAAGGAGTAGATGACTTTTTATCAGACACATTATTGTTCCAGGTGGATTATTTGTATGTATGTCTTAATACAAACAGGAGGGGATCTTTAACTTAATGGCTATAATAGTCAATAGTCTCCTGATGCTGCTTGATGTTTCTACGGAGAACATTTTCAAGATATCTGATGTTTTAAAGGACCAGTGTGTAACATTGAGGAGGATCTATTGACAGAAATGAATATAATTTTCATATATATGTTTTCTTTAGTGTATAATCACCTGAAAATAAAAATTGTTGTGTTTTCGTTACCTTAGAATAAGACGATTTTATCTTTTATCTCCTCTTCTACGAAGACTGCCATGTTGAACCACCATGTTTCTACACTGGCAGATTGGGCCTTCTGTGTTTCCCCCTACACACTTGGAACAGGAAGGGTGAGGCGAGGGGGTCGTCTGGAATCCGATTTATCGACACAAAATCAAACTTTTCACAGAAATATGTGACATTATATATTTTTTATTGATAATATAATTTGGAATAATCTGCTTTTTACACAATAATAAGCCAAAGTCACAGAGAACCAGACTATTTAGTGTAGCTAACCAGATGTTAACATGTTTTAAATGTTGAATCAGACAACTTGTGTTATGATATTGTTATAAATTACCACAACTATTATTATAACAGTAAGATGAGCAGCTGATCCCAGAGCTGTGCAGGAGAACTGTCTCTCATGTTCTTGCAGCTCCGTCGCTCCTTCAGCTGGACGTTAGATTATAAAACTGATCAGAGATCAGATCAAAGCAGATGTCGACGTACACAACACAAAACATCTGCACTTCCTGTGTGGACAGGAAGTTAAAAGACTGAAGCTGCGTTTCAATTCACGTACGTACATTTTACTTTTAGTATTTACTGCAGTTGCAATTACAAAGTACGTACTGCTGCGTGTAATATATCCACAACTGACCCTTCCTAAAAAAGGGAAGATTAGCCTAGCATATAGCATATCTAAATACAGGAAAGCAGGAAGTTGACCAAGGTTTGCTCAACTGTCTTTGACCCTCTTGCTCATACATCAGTTGCAGTTCATCGCACGCAATCTTTCACTATATTTTTACACTTGAATGCACAAATGTCATTTGTATCTTCCGCCGAGGATTGTGGGTCAGAACAGCCAGAAAAAGCATCCTGCAGGACATCCTGGCCTTCTGCATTTAACGTACTATGTCCGTCTAAATGTTGGTGTACCATGTGATAATGTTTGGTCCTCACACATTCTGAATGCACTCACATGACAAGCTGTTAAACAGGTAAACCGGCCCAGTAAACTGTTGTTTGACTGAATTAGTGCAGCTGTTGTCTGCGAGGCTCAAATAGCATCATTCCTCACCAGCGACATAGCCCAGTCTTCCCACTTCCCCCAGTCCCCAGCTTGTAGAGCTCTTTCCTCTATCAATCCCTCTATATGTGTCTCCATTCCCCAGTCCCATCCTCTATATATAGCTGCCCTGTGACCTGCCTGCTGCAGACTGAACCATGCTCTACACATTGTCAAAACAAGGGGCTAATCCTGTCCAACAGGTGCTAGTTCCCCCCCCACACACACACACACACACACTGAATCTGTCTGCCTGTTTCCACACAAACAACAGCGTCACAAACTCCACTCGGCGTGACACTGTTGCCAGGGGAGGCCGAGGGTCACGCTTTCCAAAACCAGCCCGGGAATGCTGGAGGTCGAGTGTTGGAGCCCACACACGCTGAATGATGAAACGGACCAGCGTGAGGTGGACTGCAGCGTTTCTACTTCGTCTGTCAGGCCTCTGAGGTTCCAAACAGTTCAGACACGACTGTATGTTTTTACCAGTGGTGGAAGAAGTACTGAAAAGCTTTGCTTAAATGTACAACAAGGAGTTTTTAACCGGTTATGAAACAGTGTCAATTTAACACTGATGCCTCTGTATGACCTATAAAAACAGCAACAGTGAGAAGATCAGATATTTCTATAGTTATTCTTAATGCCTGCCACTGGGTCGGATGCCCCTTGAAATCAATGAAATGAGGCGGTAGAATCAATACCGCTTTTGTCCACAGGGGTTGCCAGAATCAGCACAAAATAAGAATTTGTTTAAGTAAAATTACTAATACAACAATGTAAAAAAAACAAGTAAAAGTTCTGCATTAAAAGTTAAAAGTTAAATTTAAGTAAAAGTGTGTAAGTATTATCTGCAAAATATACAAACATTAATATAGCAGCAAACAACTACACTCCCTTTGCCTGTGTTGTACCACAGCCTCTCTGTGGTTTGTTTCCACAGCCGGTCTGCTCTGACTGAAACTGCTGTTTTTATCATCTACGTCAGTGAATTAAGGATTTATTTCCACCAAAGCAGAGTTAGTGATTGATCATTTTTACTTTTGACTAAATGATTCAAACTACAAGACACTGGTTTTTCTAACAGGTGTGTATGATAGCTGTCAAATAAATGTAGTGAAGTAAAAAGTAGAATATTTCCCTTCCAAAATGTAGAAGTAAAAGCACAAAGTGGCATAAAATGGAAATACTTGTACTTGAAGTACCTTCAAGTACAGTGCTTGTGTAAATGTACTTAAGTTGTTACTTTCCACCACTGGTCTCCCACAGACAATGTAGACATCCTTTAGGTATTAATGCACTTGTCTGGCTAGAACAACATATCACAGGCTATATAATGCACTCGACCGGAACAACTGAGCGTCTGAGCACGACTTCCTCTTCGGTACAGTGAGAGCGAGCCGACTGCTGACTGCTCGTCGCCCATCGACACTTTGTTCCCACGCCACCTGATGGTGTTTACTCTACTGCGAAGGACTATTGGGGCTCTTTGTTAACGTCTCCGAGCCTGAGCCGTTGGATGTGACCTCCACACAAGGCTGGGCGTGAGGGACGCAGGACGGCAGCTGGGCCCTCTTGTGCTCCGCCGCTGCAGGATGAACTGCAGTGGACACAACGGTCTCCATCCGACTGGCTCGATATATGCTCACCTGAAAAGTAGATAGATTCATAAATAGAGAGAATAATGAATTTAATACCACCTTATTTTCTAATTTGTTATGTTTTCTTTAAATGTGAACCTTAAAAATATTAGATTTGTATGTTCTTCAGCTCCTGTCAATGAATATTTAGATGCTTGCTTCTTTACGGTTTCATATCTTCAAAATCAAAATTGTCCAAATAATACTCAAACAGACAGTACAGACAGATGCCTGCAACCTCAGTACTGTTTTAATTTTGTTTAAAACATTGTAAAAGATCCTCAGGATTGCCTTAAAACTGTGTCCTCTTATAGTATCTTTTGTTGCTTCACAAAATATATCCTATTTGACTCTTATATGTTCTGCCCCATTATTTACAGCGGTCACAAGCTAATATTTGTAGCTTATGTTACAACACATGAAGTCTAATGTTTAATCTGTTCCTTCAACTTTTGCTTCATTGTTTTGGTTTAAGAAAAGCTAAAAAAAAGTATCATCTTCCAGACTCTGTAAACGTTACAGCTCCATGAACATCACTTTATTCATTCTGTTACCAGCCGAGTCTTCCCCCTTTAAGGAAGGTGGGCTTGTGGGTAACCTGTGCCGGTTTGTTGCAGGACGTGAGTCTTTCCCAGTGTGTAAAGGGACAGTAATGTTGCGGTATAATTGTTACTGTGTATTGTGTTTGCTGCCACAGGAAAGAAATAAAAAATTCCTCTTTCTTCTTGTTCTGTTCACTGCTGAGTTTGTCCAGACTGCAGACGGCTAGTTAGCTATCTAGCAGATATAAATCAGGTTAAAGACAATTGAAATAGTATAAAATGGAGGTAAAACATTTTGGAGCTGGAAGCCGTATACGATCAGATTGATTGATTTTATTACTAGTTACCAGGGAAACGGAGTTATGGCTCAAAAAAACTTTAGATTTTGACTGCAAAACTTCTTTGTCAAGTGACCATGTTATAAGTGGGATAATGCCCTAATGGACGCCTCATCGGGTATTATCCATTACATAATTGCCTAATCTGAATACTTTATAGTCTGAACCCGGGATTACACACACCTGTGTCTGCAGGTAGCGCGGTGATTTGAGCTCTAACTCCTCCTTGGCGACTGTGGGAGCGCAGCAGCAAAACACCTGCTGGAAACCTGCTCTGAACCTGACGAGTGGATGACAAATATTTTATAACAGGATGGATTAAACAGACGGGATTATAGACACAGATTACCTCGCACATGACATCCACACAGACACACAGATAGCCATTTTAATAGGGATACGTTCAAAGTTCCCACCTGCTGTTGAGGCAGTAGTAGATGATTGGGTTGTACATGGTGGAGCTCATGGCCAGCCACATGATCGCCAGGTAGACCTGTTGGATGTAGCGCTGCTCGAACAGATCGGGAAAGAACTGGTGCAGCAAGAAGTAGACGTGATAGGGCAGCCAGCAGACAGCGAACGTACACACAACCACGATCATCATCTTCACCACCTGCCGCAGAGCAAAACGCAGAGGAGACGGGGGTGGCTTTAAAATAATCTTTCCAAATGTTTTTGTTTTGATGCGGGGATTAAAAAACCATTAAATTAAATGGTAGAGTTTAGTCACACTGGTGTGTGTGTGTGTGTGTGTGTGTGTGTGTGCGTGTGTGAGCTTGCGTCACCTTGCGTTTAGCAATGAGCTGTTCTTTGTAGTGGTCAGAGGAGTCCCCGGGGATCTCACTCGCCCAGAGGGTGACGCCCACGGTAGTGTATGCACATCCCATAATGCAAAGGGGCAGGAAGTAGATCAGCAGTGTCACGCACACGTAGTATCTGAGAGAAAGAGGTCAAAGATAAGATTAATAATGTGGGATGTTTGTTACTGAAAATGCTGCCAGTATTGCTTACTAGACCTCTTTTCACGAGCATGTTGACATGAAGTAGTTGGGTTAATATAGGTGTTAAGCGAGGAAGGACCCTGAAGTGCTCCAGTTTTCGGACTTTCCGGGATGTAACTAGCACAAACACCTTAATCAAGGGCTGTGGACCCCTTTGTGACGCTTTTAGTTGGGGTCAGACCTCCACGTTGGGCCAAACTAATGTAATGGAGTAAAGTATATATTTGCCTCTGGAGATGTAGTGGAGTAAATGTGTTACTATTATATCTCTATAGCCTTAACTATATACATTACTTACTCATCAGAAATACACAAATTCATAATTCTAATTGTTTATTTTTTTACAATGTGGGAGGAACCGAGTTCTCGGAGAACCCGCCAACGTGAGTACTTGTATCCTCACGCAAAAGGGAACTGAACCATCACCTCTATAGCTGCAAGGACAGTGTTAACTGAGGACCTATGATGTCAGTCTATTTTTTTTGTCGGAATTGAAGTTTTTTTTCATTATTGTGTAAATGTGGGCGAACCAGCTCTGGAGAACCCTGTGTCACATCAGTTAGTACGGTGTGTGTTGGTTGCGCGTTTGTGTTTTTTTGATCGAGCGCGTGACGGCCTTGAGGACATGACGAGAATCTGTTGCGCACTTTTGTTTTTGGTGATCAGGAGCCTTCAATCGTGTTCTCAGTGAGAGCCAGTCATAGAAAATCATCTGGGGCATGCCACCGCGAGATCGTTTTGCGTGCGGTCGTCTGACAATTCCTTGTTACACTGCCTTGCATCTTTTGATGTGAGGGCCGCTGAGGTTTTCATGCAGACATGAGCAGAAATCTGTTCCGGAGCTTTCCGCAGTGACGTGGTGCTTATGTCTGCATTTGTCATAATTCAGGAGACATATAGGAGTAATGACTTTCATGTTTTGTGATAAGGTCGAACCACCACAAGTCAGGGATTATGTCCCACTCATAGGTGGATTGTGCATTGGTGTTCAACTGCAGCTTCACCTCCTCCCTGGTGATCGGTTCCTCGATTGGACCTTGGATGGGGCGGTGTGAAGGTTGTCTTCTTGCCTCCACCAAGTGGTTACTAGTCTGCATCTGATTGGGGACTCAATGACTGGACACCAGTGTCGTCACCATGTGTCAGCGATGCACACGCAGCGCTCCGATGATGAGCTGGGTTGTGACAATGTGTGCGCAGCCGTCGTGTGACTAGAAGGGAGTTTCTGTGGACTGCTCGCTGGTGCACTCCCTGATCTGCATCGACAGCAGCTTGGGTGGTCCCTTGTTTTTTTGAGTTCAGCTGTGGTTGAGCAGTTGTTATTCTTAAAAAGTGTCACCTCGCTTGGATCTCAAAGCAAAGTCCATGGAGCGGTCCTGCTTTTAGATGGTTGGAGACATTGAAGCTCTACGGAGCATGTTGGTTTGTTCTACTGGAGATTACTCTTGCGACTTCTTAAAGGGGCTTGTCCTCTGTGTCCTCAGTGTGTCCTCTGTGTTTTGAGATATGCTTGCTTAGTCCACTGAGCCTCCTCAATTCACTGGCTCAGGGGCGCATTTTCTTTTGGACCGTTTTGATTTTACCCTTGAGTTTGTCAAGGCAGCATGCCCCATTGCAAATCTTTGTGCTCAACAACGGCTTGCGTTATTTCCACGGTCTTCAGATGTATCTTCTGGATATCTCCCATGATTCAGGCAATGTGAACCTCCACATCTAGTTGGAAGCCTCTTCATTATCTCCTTTAAACTATGTAAAACATGCAACAAACTCAGTCAATGATCACCTGGGCGAACACAATCCCAGGTATCACAACAACTAATGCTAAACAATCGAACCCAAAAGAAACCGGCACAAAACTTTCAACATACCAAAAAACCAGAAACAATACATACACATCATGTCCTACCAACCAAAAAAAATTTTGTTGTCTTTAATCGATATCTTCGTCGTAACACATAGGTAATGCCTGCATATATCTATCTGATACCTCCGCAAGGATCAATTTTCACGGACTGCTGTAGTTATTTCTCGTGCGTTGCCTCAATACAGGTTCTAGTCATTTAAAGGTACCATGGTGTCTAGCCCTGTACGATTGCTTGGATTTCAAGTGTTCCCACTGCAGGTTGGTCCAGACACTCAGATTGCTTTGCATTGCCTCTTTCGCTCTACACTTTATTGCGCACGCTTCTCTTAGTCTGTCTCACTCGCTCTCGCTAACCCCTGGATCGTCTCTGGGTGAAAGACAACGAGGACGCGAACGGATTTGCTCAGCATAATCACGCTGCTCCATAAGACGGGTGCTTGAGGAGCTTCCCTCTAGCTGATGAGCCTCGTACAACAACAAACAATCCTGCACTTCAAGTTACATTCCTCTGCACTTCGCAGCATAGATATCATTTAGATGCCAGATTCCATGCCTCAGGCGACGGGCAGGGGCTATGAGAATGTCTACCACCGCGCGCCAAGACACGTCTTACGAAGACACCGCTAACAAAAGAAAAATGTCTGAGATCGTAAGTCCAGTTAGAAGATAATATTGCAAATATTTGCATCTGCCGTAGGCATTATCTCTTTACTGTTCGCTCTATTACACTCGTATAATGAACTCGCAAAAATTCCCAAACATTTTAATTCATTCCTGACAAACAATAGTTACACGCAATTACTCCTACTGTTTATTATAATATATATTCTAGAGACAGGCCATCCGGCCCAGGTCGCCTCATCGATCCTGGATTGTCCAGCTGTCGACCATCTGTCGCGCGGCACCAGGAATACCACCACCAATCCACGCACCCATGACAGCGACACTCTCTGTCGCCTTAGACTCCATATTCAGTTGGTTTTGACTTCTCATGGTATATATACAAGATCCTGAAAAGATCACACTATCTGATGTTTGTGCTTATTAGGTCCTCGAAAGACTGAAGTAGTGACCTGAAGAATCATTCCTGGTTTAGTCTCTATTTGGTTCGAACAATGATAGTTCCTTGCAGATCTGCAACTCGAAACCAGGCATTGTTTGGAATCCACAAGGCTAGTTACAGGAACGCGCATGATTCGTCTTTGCATAATCCAAGGTATGATCTCTAGGCTCATTGAACATCTTTTGGTAATGATCCATGCTCTCGCTCAATACAGCCAAAAAAAAAACAAGGATGAAAAAACGCAACAGTTAAATGATAATCACACCAATTTCAAAAATCCCCGCAAAAATAATATGAAACATTACCTGCCCGATTAAAATGAACTGTTGTCTAGAGACAATCAGATAAATTCTACCTATATCAGATAATTTAGTTACTCGAATATTAAACATTTTATAGAACAACATGATACCACTGTACTAAACGCTCTCTATGGCAAACAAGTGAATCTTCGAATAGTACATCCTGCTGATGTTGGCCATATCTCTTTTTCTTGTTTGTTGTTGTTTGGGGTTTGACACATTTCTGACAGTCATGTACAACACTTTAATAGAATTTCTTATCAGTCGTGACTTTATAACAATTCAGTTAATTCATAAATGCCGTTAACATAAATATGTTATCTGCATTTCACTCGTTCCCAACTACCTCAACTCATAAAATAATCTCTCTATTATCCACGAAATCTCTAACATGTAGTTTGCCGCTCGCTCTGCTCTTCCCTACAATTGTGTTATACTGTCAGCAACGTTGGTTATTTTTATTTTTTTTTTATTGATAGAATAATAATTCTGAACGTCAATGAATCAGATACATCAAGCTCAAAGCTATAGATTTCTTGGAATACAAGACACGACATTCCGTCGCAATCCTTGGAACACCCAACGGCTGGTTCAGCGTTCAGTCTTCAGGCATTTTCACTTTCGACACCAAATGAGCAACGGAGTTTGGATTTCTTCAGACACTTTCCTCGTGACCAAAAGACAAATCAGGAGTTTGGCTTCTCTTCGGACTGAAGCATACAAAGATCTGAACTCACGATAATGGATTTCAACCGTCGCACCCAGAGATGGTTTTTGTGCACTCGTCTACGCGGAGCCTGGAGCTTACATCGTACAATGGTCACTGCTGGGAGTCCGGGTCTCTAGATAAAAAAATCGAGGGATGTTAACTTACTGTACCAGTGTGTGGGCGGGTATGATCTTTGAATCCCAGGTTTTCCGTTACCACTTTACGACTTGTTAAGACACCTGCGACCAACGAAAGAGGATGCATCCTAAATTCTCGACCAGACTCCCTTTGGAGTTAACCCCAGCAGATCCCGACTAAAGCGCTACGATCTCTCGAGACGACCGCACACAGAGGCGCACGGCCAGGTCCGCGGGTGTGCTCACAGGGAAGAACCGATCATGTCCTCGCGCCGTTCGCCGGTACAACTCGGCCAATCCGCAGCATGCTGAAGAGTCGGGCCGGAAGTGCAGCAGAAAAAGTACAGCGGGAGGTGGTTACCAGAGTTCATCCAGCCAGAGGTGTGGCGTCGCCCAAGCTCCTGCGCCAGTATGGAGGCGCCCGCAATGAGGACTCAAGACTCCTGGTTCTCGTTCCGTTGAAAGAAGAGTGCGTCCCGCCTGGTCGTAGCGGACTTAATAGATAAACACTGCAGAATAAGGTAAATTCCAGGGAAGTCCAGCCGGAAAGTGATTGGTATGCAGATGAAGTAGAGGATGCTTGGATAAATGGCAATCCGGAGGTAACCTGAAATGAGTGCAAAGATGGTATTTGGTGTGTTTAAAAAGGAGATTAAGAGAGGAAATACATCGCAACGAAGTACTCGCGTCGGCCGCCCGGATGGTGAAGATGGACGGGGCAGACCGGAGATGGCAGGCAGTTATATTACGATAGGTCCAAAACGACCCCACCTATGGTGCTCTCGAATCAGCGCAATGTGTGTTGGACTGGTGTGAAGTTTCAATTGCAAGTGGCCGAGAGGTGGGTTTAACTGTAACAGGAGACATAATGAAAGCGTTCCAAGGAGATTGG